TGCAAAGAACAAAATCATCATGACATAGTGGCTACTCAGCAATGCAATTTTCCAGCTTCTCAAGGGAATTGTCTGATTTGGAGCCCACCACAATAGCCATGCAATATCACCTTCGACAAAACTGCTTTCAACTCAATATTTCCTTGTGTCATGGTCATTCAGCGTGCTGTCCGATTGTAAATCTTCCACTCATACTTACAATTCCATCTATTCAAACGTCATTTTTCATGTGTGAGTGTAGATATATTTCTGTATACATATAAAAATGCATATTTTATATATATTTTTTACCCCTTTTTGTGCAAAGTTAAGAATGCCTGCCTTCCTTGGTTTGAAACCACTAATGCACTGTGATATTGATTTGAATTTGATTAATCATTCAGCTCCGTTTTTAAAAATCAAATATTGCACTGTAATCCAGTTTTTTAAAATTCTTTTGATGAAAGTAGCTGTTCTATATTATTCCAGTAATAGGTGACAAAAGAGGCGACAGTTTTTTTTCGGACAGTGGCGCAATGGTGCATAAGTTATCTTTTTCTTTCTTTTTCCCCCTTTAGAGCAAAGTTGGGAATGCCTCAGTTCCTTAGTTTGGAAGCCCAGAGTTTGCTGAGGATGCTGTTCAAACGTAACCCAACAAACAGACTAGGTGAGTGGCATTGCATTTTAACGGTGAATCAAACTATGAAATGACAGTATGTAGCTATTCTATGCCCTCAAGGTGAATGTCTTCTTTTCAAACATGAACTTAACTACTGACATTTACTTCAGTCAGGTGCAGAATACTACAAATAGAATGTGTGAAAGTGTTGATATTTTCTTAAAAAGGTGCATCTTTATCGTGCCTGGTCAACTGAAGTGATATGATCTGTGTCTTCAGGGGCCGGACCCGACGGTGTGGAGGAGATCAAACGCCATGCTTTCTTCTCCACCATCGACTGGAATGTGGGCACGCACACACACACACAAACACACGCACACACGTTATCAATCATTCCCCTCATACCCACACAAACAGACACTCCAGCTTGTTGAAAATTCACACTTGACAAACGTTCAGCTTGGCCATGAATTTGCCAGCACTGTGTGTGTGTGTGTGTGTGTGTGTGTGTGTGTGTGTGTGTGTGTGTGTG